TTCTTGCAGACGGCCAATTCTCTCACACCAGAAGCGACTCTGGTCGTTCCTGACACGACAACAAAAAAAACCCATACTGCATGGCAAAAGCAATGAACCAAGGGAACACTCCAGCAACCCGCTCAAGTGGAAGAGGGAGTTGGGAGGGAAATAACCCACATTCTCTGCATCTCTTAAGATGCAGGCTCTGAAACCAGATGGAGGCCATCCTGTGTGTTGCGTATAAGCACTATCCAGGCCTCAACCTGGTTCGACGGCTTGCCATCAAACCATCCATACCACTTCCCCCTATGTTGGTTTTGAACTAGTCAGTATAAATCACTATTTCTTAAACTGTGGGTCCTGATCCCAAATGGAATTTCCTTTGCTCAGTGTTGGGGTCATGAGAAATTTGGCAACAGTAAAAGGTTTCTGAACACCCTGGTGTATCTTCGGGCATTTACAGTTGAAGATATAATGTCCCTAGAAGAGCAATGATGCTTACCCCTGGAGAGGGGTACATCCTGGGAAACAAATCTTCCATAGAAGTTGGATGCTCCCCCCTCTTCATTTTTTGCTGTATGCAGTCACCCCTCTATATCTATGGATTCTGCATGCATGGAAAAGGCAAAGTATGCATGTTTATCTGTTTCTACCATTAAGGCTGTTGCTAGATAAAGTGGCCCTCTGTGATGCCACTGGTTGGGGCTGTTGCTAGGGGAAGTGGCCCTCTGTGATCTTGTTAGTTGACATGAATAAGAGAACCATGTTGTCATGGAGACATTGTAGGAGCCCCCAGTGGTGCAGTGGGTTAAACCCCTGTGCTGGCAGGATAGGTCGCAGGTTCAAATCCGGGGAGAGGCAGATGAGCTCCCTCTATCAGCTTCAGCTCCTCATGCGGGGACATGAGAGAAGCCTCCCACAAGGATGATAAAAACATAAAATCATCTGGGCGTCCCCTGGGCAATGTCCTTTCAGACAGCCAATTCTCTCACACCAGAAGTGACTTGCAGTTTCTTAAGTCGCTTCTGACATGACAAAAAAAATGGAGACATTGTGAGGTAGGCCATCTCAGAGCTGGAGAAGGGAGACAGTATGTGGGGAGCAGTCCTAACAACACCCAGGTAATGCCAGGTATACTTGATTTTGCCATTTTTATAAGGGGTACCATTGTATTAGGCCCTTGGGACTTGAGCATCTACAGATTTTGGTATCCGCAGGGGAGTCTGGAAACCAAAGTGCCCACTGTACTTGATAACACTGTTCAACAGAGAAAAAGTTTCGGGCCTGAAAATAGTTGTTCTTTTATGATTTTGGGGGGCTGAAAACGAAAATGACATTTAAAAATGTATATTGGCTCTAGTTTTTATGATATAAGCAATCACATGATCACGTATGGTTGAAAAAAAATGCATGTTGCGACTTACACTATGGAAGATTCTAGAAAGTTGCGGGCCTGAAAATAGCTGTTCTTTTATGATTTTGGGGTCCTGAAAACGAAAATGACATTTAAAAATGTATATTGGCTCTAGTTTTTATGATATAAGCAATCACGTGATCATGTATGTTTGAAAAAATGCATGTTGCGACTTACACTATGGAAGATTCTAAAATACTCTAGAAAGTTTGATGACGCAGTATTAGTGCCGTGTGCAGAAGCCAGAAAGCCCTATATAAGGCCAGACTTTTGAACGGTGAGGGTCAGTCAGTTGAAGACTGAGACAGTATCGTTAAACATCGTTTTACATTGTTCTTTTTACTGTAGTTATGCCTCACACGTGTGTAAATAAAGCACTATGGAAAAAAGATATCAAGGCAAATGGACTCCGTCAATGCTGTCAGACTACTGCTGGAGCATTGTAAGAGACAATCCTTTTCTTGAATACAAAAGAAAAGTCAAGAGAAGCAAACAGGATATAAACTAAAGTCACGATTAAAGCGACATTTAAACTTTCAGACTTTTCAACTGCATTAGGCCTACTAATATAGTGTCTTGCTGCACAAACATAAACAATAGACTAATTAAAAATTTCTCATGTATAAACTATTGGCAATATAATTTGACTAAAATTTAGTAAATATTCACGGTTTATATACATGCAGTAAGGTTAGGCGCATTATCATAATATTAACAAATTACCTATTGTGGAGAAAATTGAAATAGCTGTTGCATAAAAACCAGAGCCAATTAACACATTTAATTATTATATTTGAATTCAGCATGTTAAATTTATTAAGAAACGGCACATTTCGTTTCCGTAACTGAGAAAAACTGAAAATTTGTAGAACAGTGTAATTTGTCAGTCTGAAAGTAACACATTTGTCATTTATCAGACTTTCCAAGTGTTTGCCGAAGTCCTTGCACATGTTGTTTCAGAAAACCAGAAAACCATTGAGTCTCTGCAGGTTGTGACTACGGGCCCTTCCACACAGCCCTATATCCCAGGATATCAAGGCAAAAAATCCCACATTATCTGAGTGTGGACTCAGATAACCCTGTTCAAAGCAGATATTGTGGGATTTTATGCCTCGATATCCTGGGATATAGGGCTGTGTGGAAGGGCTGTACAAAGACCTGGTCTGTATTTTCATAATATCTCTCAATTGTCAGCATTATCCAGTGCTACGAGACACTATTGAAACTTTTATTGTTTTGTTCTTAAATCTTGACAGTACAAGAACTGTCAACAAGAACTGTCTAGCCGCCCTGAGTCCCTCTTTGGAAGTCGAGAATAGGATGGAATGTAAATGTTCTAAATAATTAAATAAATAAATTTGTGTTGGTGTAGATTCTGCCTACACTACAAAAAATAATTTTTTTCCTCTGTAAACATTGCATGACATTAAATAGCTTCACATTTTCTTTTTCTTCCCTCCCAGACAGCTTTTATTGCACATATAACTGCATCAACGTTGCCAAACCTTTATAGACATGAGGATGAAAAGTTTTTTCTGAATGCCGAAGATAAGAAGGAACCTGTGCCAAACCTCCATGATCTTCCAACACATGAACTTTCCATAGTTGTGCCTTCGTATAATGAGGAAAAACGGTGTAAGATAAAGTTCCTGTTTTCCTTACGTCTGTATGCTAACAACATGCTTTACATTTGTCTCCCTCATCCCACTAATGCAGTTTTACTTAAACTAGATACTTCCTTCTCTCTCCTCCACTTTTTCTTACAGTGCCATCAATGATGGATGAAGCTTTAAACTATCTGGAAAAGAGACAGGTATTTAAAGTAGTGCTTTGACATTACTATTTTTTCAGTATCTAATGAAAATATTCTTAAGGGTTTTTTTTGGTGTTCTGATTATTATTATAAAAGAGCATATTATACCAGGTCTGGATGATGATGATGATGATGATGATGATGATGATTTCTGCCTTTTGTAATGTGCTCAAAACAGCACAACTGCCCTCCCCTCTACTTTGTCACCACAACAGTTCTGTGAGATTGGTAAGGCTGAGATAAGCTTTCATGGCTTACTTAGTCCTGAACGTGGATTTTCCAAATTGCAATCCCACACTTTAACTTTTTCTTCACACTGGTTCTCAAACTACCCTTCTTCTTACTTTTATAGAAACAAGATCCTGCATTCACATATGAGATCATTGTGGTTGATGATGGCAGCAGAGATCACACCACAAAGGTATAGTATATAATTGCATTCTACAGATTGTGTGCGCATTGTCAGTTATATTTCTGTTTCTTTTAAGAAAAGGCACCTAATTCATGTTTTGAAGCAGGTTACTGATAAGATAGGAAGCACAGAAAATTAGAAGAAACTAACATTTTTATATCATCTTCCTCTTTCATACTTCCTATACAGTGAAAAGACTTTATTCTTGATCAGAAGACAGATGTGGTATGCATTACAGAAACCTGGATACGAGAAGGAGATAATATTCCCTTGTATGAACTAACACCTTCAGGTTTCCAGATGCTTCAAAGATCTCGAAAGAGGAGGGGTGGGTGGGAATAGTAGCCCGCAATCATTTCTCCATTAGAACTATTCCTACCCCAGATATTATGGGTATCGAATGTATAGGTTTGACATTGGCTACTAGGGAAAGTGTGACTATCCTCTTAGTTTATCGGGCCCCTGGGGCCCCGAACGAGAGCATCCCCAAGTTATTAGACTTTGTGGCGGTCTGGGCCCTGAAGTTCCCAAGTCTCATCGTATTGGGAGACTTCAATGTACATGCAGATAGGTTGTTGTCTTCGATAGCAAGGGACCTAGTACAATCTATGGAAACAATAGGCTTCTCATTAATGGTCCTACTCATCGAGCTGGGTACACCTTGGACTTGATTTTTAGTATCGGAATACAAGTGAGACTATCCTCAGTCTTAGAGATTCCTTGGTCTGACCACTATATCCTGAACACTCAAATAGAGATTCCACCACCACAGCGTCCGGAGACTGAACAAATTTTCGTGCGGCTGAGGAAGCTGATGGATCCTATAAACTTTCGAGTTTCCTTAAAAACTGGATTACACCGCTGATTCTCTATGTGAACGAGTGGAAAAATGGAACAAAAATCTATCAGCTGCCTTAGATATAGTTGCCCCTAAACGGACTCTTCGTCCTCATCTCCATGGTTCACGGATGCATTATGACAGATGAAACTTGAGCGGAAGAGATTAGAACGTAAATGGCACAAGAAACCTGATGAAACATCTAAGTCGGCTTTTGAAATACATCGAAAAATCTACGAAGTAGCCACCAGAGAGGCTAAAAAAGAATATAATTCCTCATTGATAGCTTCTGCCAGATCTCGATCTGCTCAAATATTTAAAATTGTTCGTAACATCACAAATCCAACTCATCCGGCCAAAGATGTGGCTAGTCAAGATATTACAGCAGAGACTTTATAAATAAGATCAATCTGCTCTGTGAAGGGCTACCTCCCACAGAGGACACATCGAGGGAACTAGAGGCGAAATGGAAGACCTGGAAAAGACTCTAGCTGCAGCAAGACCAACTACCTGCTCCCTCGATCCTTGCCCCTCCTGGTTGGTTAAGGAGTGCTGGGAGGGACTACGAGATCCCTTAAGGAGCATCATCAACAGTTCCTTGGAGCAAGGAATTTTTCCAGATTGCCTGAAAGAAGCAGTGGTCCACCCTCTCTTGAAAAATCAAGTCTAGATGCCACCATACCTAGTAACTATCGCCCAGTTTCAAACCTTCTGTTTTTGGGCAAGGTGATTGAACGGACAGTGGTGGGGCAGCTACAGCAATTCTTAGATGAGACTGCGGGTTTGGACCCCTTTCAATCAGGTTTTCGTTCAGGTCATGGGACAGAGACTGTCTTGGTAGCTATTACTGATGAAATTCACCATCAGTTAGACTGAGGCGGATCAGCGCTATTGGTACTCTTGGACTTCACAACTGCATTCAACACCGTGGACCATGACTTGCTGATTCATCGATTGGCTATGTCTGGTGTACGAAGTTTAGCCCTTAAATGGTTCAATTCGTTCCTCCGGGACCAGAGACAGAGGGTGGAGTGGTTAGGCCAAAGCTTGGAGAGCTCCTGCCTTTGTTGTGGAGTTCTCCAGGGTGCTATCCTCTCGCCCCTGCTATTTAACATCTATGTCCGGCCACTTGCTGGACTGGTGCGGAGCTTTGGCATAGAGTGCTACCAGTATGCAGATGATACCCAGCTACTCTTGCGTCTCGAACCTGGGACAACCACGATTCCTGAGAACTTTAAGCTGTGTTTGGAAGCAGTGATGAGTTGGCTGCGAGCGAGCAGACTAAAAGTGAATCCTGCAAAAACTGAAATACTCTGGCCCGGCCAGCCGCCAGAATTAATCCAGTCTCTGCCTGATTTCGATGGGGAAGCTTTGGTTCGTCTGCCACAGTTAAAAGCCTTGGGGTTGTGTTGGACTCATTGCTGACGATGGAGGCCCACATCACTGCCATAAGTAAGCAGACCTTTTTTCATCTTTGCCAGGCAAGGAAATTGGCATCCTACCTTTCAGTAGAAGCATTGGCAACGGTAATCCACGCAATAGTCACCATGAGGTTGGACTATTGCAAAGCCTTATATGCCGGCCTTCCGAAGTCAATAACCCAGAAGATTCAGATGGTCCAAAATGCGGCGGCCAGGCTGTTAACGGGATCATCTATAAGATCCCATATTACACCGATTCTGCAACAACTGCATTGGCTACCAATAGAACATTGGATCTCTTACAAGATACTGATCCTGACATTTATTTATTTATTTATTTACTGCACTTGTAGACCGCCGTTCTCAGCCCTAGGGCGACTCACGGCGGTGTACAACATATAAAAACAATTTACAATAATAATAATAATAATAATAATAATAATTTAGAGCTCAAAATGGCCAAGGACCTTTATATCTTAGGGACCGCCTCATTCCTTTTCTCCATCAGTGGTCACCTCGATCCACCCAGGAAAATCTCCTATACATACCAGGCCCTAGGGAGGTACACCTGGAAGCTACAAGGCGTAGAGCTTTTTCGACCTATGCTCCAATTCTGTGGAACTCATTGCCTCCATATATTAGAGCAATGTCGGAGTTGCAACCTTTTGTAAAGGCGCTCAAGACTTGGCTGTTTGGTTGTGCATTTAAGTAAAGTGGTCAGATCTAATTTGCCCAATAGTCACTGTTGAATGTTTTTATGTTGAATGTTTTTATATTGTGTAAATGCTATTTTAAATTGTAAGTCGCTCGGAGCACCTTGGTGGAGAGCGACTAATTTAGAAGAAATAAAGTGAAGTGAAGTGAAAAAAACTTTTCAGAAGTTCTTGTTTCTTCTTAAAGCTGAACCCAGCAAGTTGTTAGTTTCATTAATAATTAGTTTCAGACAAATCATTTCCCAGCACATAGAGAAGGAACCTCTTGTTGTTTGGGTTGCTTTTCCTTCTCTCCAGATAGATAGGAAAAGGGGGGAAACCCTTCTAATTTCCCTACACAAGGAACAATCTGTGGAAGACTGGTATTTTTTGTTGCCTACTACTCCAATAGGACCTATTTGTCATTGCTTTGATTCATTGTTGTAGCAGCACCAGTCTTTGCTTTGATTTACGAAGCTAATCCATCAACTCAGAGAAAGGGGTGAGTACTCCCGCACCCCCAAGGAAACTTCCACAGGATCTGTTTACCTGGATCGGTGTGCTTTTGATCCAGGAGGCTGTCACTATTGTGATTGCAGGCATATTACACTGCATTTGACTCAGAGTACTACTGGGTGAGTAAACAGGGAGCTGTCAGTCATGTGATAACTCCCCCAGCTCCCCAGCCTAGAAGACTTGTAGCAGTATATTTCCACTTTTGGCTTGGATGGCCACTGTCTTGGACCCCCCCTACTGGAGGACAATGGGGAGTTCTCAGCTGCTGATTATCTGAGAAAATTTGCGCAATGCTGTACCCTCTGAGGAAAAGGCATATCCTCCCCCCCCCCCCCAGGCCTCTGGAACTCTCTCCCTAAAGAAATAAAACTGGCACCCTCCTTGTTCTCTTTTAAAAAACAGATAAATGCATTTATGTGCTTTAGCATATAGAGAGGAAGAGGTTTAGAGTTATTATGTATAATTACCATCAACTGGAAATAGTGTTTCACTCTGGCTTTGTTGGCTGCATAAAATTTTAATAATTTTAAATGTATTTTTAGATTTGACAAAGTTTGTGTTGTGTTTTAATGTTAGATGTGATATAATTGATCTGTTATGTTATTATTTAATTTTTGATTATGTGTTATAATTTTGTGTTATATGTGGATTTATTTCTGAGATTTGGTTGGGTTCTTTATTTGTTTTTGTTGGTTTCCTCAGGAAGATAGGTGTGGGATATAAATAAAGTATTTTTATTTTTATTATTATTTTACTGACATAAAAACATAGTATGTCACAGCAAACGAGATATATATGCTGGATTTTGTATTACAAAATCGCAAGTCGAACACTTCCCAAGCGTCTAGGACTGTGTGATGTATTTTCGAATGATGCACGCAGATCCAAGTAATGTGCAGTTGACAGATTATGATTTTGTCAATGTCTATTGTTTTAAAAAAGCCGGCTGAGATCTTTTGGCACGGCACCCAGTGTGCCGATTACCACTGGAACCACCTATAGTGGTTTATGCCAGAGCCTTTGCACTTCGATTTTGTGGTCCTGATAACGGCTGAGTTTTTCCTGTTGTTTTTCCTTAATGCAACTGTCAACTGGTATGGTGACATCAATAATCCAAACTTTTTTCTTTTCCACAATTGTGATGTCTGGTGTATTGTGTTGCAAAACTTTATCAGTCTGGATTCAAAAGTCCCACAGTATTTTTCGTGTTCATTTTCCACTACTTTTGCAGGTTTATGATCCCACAAGTTTTTTACTGCTGGGAGGTGGTACTTGTGACATAAGTTGCAATGAATCACTTGGGCTAGAGAGTTGGGCCTCTGTTTGTAGTCTGTCCGTGCAATTTTTTGCAGCAACTGAGGATATGATCAATTGTTTCATCAGCTTATTTATTATTATATATTATATATATATATATATTATATATTTATTATTATATATTATTTATTATTATTATTAGAGATAGGGCCTTCTCGGTGGTGGCTCCTCGGCTGTGGAATGCCCTTCCTGTAGATGTCAGGCTGGCACCATCTCTCATGACATTCCGTAGAAAGTTGAAGACCTGGATGTTTGTGCAGGCGTTTGAGTAATTCAGTGCAATTCTGGTAATTTGAACATAGGAACGGAACAATGTACGACGAATTAGATCACGCTTGGATGATGAGGCGATTGTGATAACTGTGTATTGATGATGGTTTATTAGCTAGTAATGGAAATGTGTAATTTAACTGTTTTGCATATTAATTATTGCTGTTTTTATTGTCTTTGCTGTTTGCTGTCTGGAAACCGCTGTGAGTCGCCCTCGGGCTTGAGATACAAGAATAGTAAATAAATAAATAAATAAATAAATAAATAAATTATTATTGGGGTAAGGCCTATATCATAGTTTCAGAGATGAAGGTGAGAGAAATCTCCTTGGAAGTGCCCTTCCTGGCTAACTTCATACAAATGGTAAGGAAGGACTAGAGCAAGTCAGCCTCATATAGACCAAGTCGTAGTGCTACTAACAAGCTATATAGCCTACCTAAGAAGGTAATAACTATGCTTAAACTCCTTTAGTTGACATCTCCATATTTGCCTCGTGTTCTCTGCTGTTTTCTATGCAGTCCAACCCACATTTTGGCCTTTAGGAGAGCTGACTTTTGAAAATTGAAGGAAATACTGAGCAGCATTCCTTGGACACAGATACTAAAAGACAAGGGAGTTACAGATGGATGGGAGTATTTCAGGAGTGAAATACTCAAGGGGCAATTGCAAACAGTGCCATCAAAGAGAAAAAATAGGACAAGTGCAAAGAAGCCAGAATGGATATCCAAAGAACTTCTAACTGTGCTAAGATTCAAAAGAGACATGCACAATAAGTGGAAAAAGGGAGAAATCACCAAAGAAGAATTTAAACAAATAGGCAACTCCTGTAGGGAAAAGGTCCACAAGGCCAAAGAACAAAACGAGCTCAGGCTTGCTAGGTACATTAAAAAGAATAAAAAGGGGTTCTTATGTGAGTAGAAAAAGGAAGAACAAGGAGGGGATAGGGCCTCTTCGAGGAGAAGATGGGGCAGTGCTTACAGGGGATAGGGAAAAGGCAGAACTACTTAATGCCTTCTTTGCCTCGCTCATCTCACAAAAAGAAAGTAATCTTCAACCTCAGCAAGGTAGAGTGGATGAGGGATTAGAGGACATCCCATTGGGAAACAAGTCGTCCAGGAATACCTGGCCACTCTAAACGAGTTCAAGCCCCGAGGGCCAGATCAACTACACAGTCCTGTTCAACATTTTTGTTAACGACTTAGATGAAGGGTTAGGAGGTATAATCATCAAGTTTTCAGATGACATCAAATTGGGAGGGATAGCCAATACTCCAGAGGACAGGAGCAGAATTCAAAACCATCTTAACAGATTAGAGAGATGGGCCAAAACTAACAAAATGAAGTTTAGTAGGGACAAATGCAAGATACTCTACTTAGGGAGAAAAAATGATATGCAAAGATACAAAATGGGGGACACGTGGTTCAAGAGCAGTACATGTGAAAAAGATCTTGGGGTCCTTGGGGACAACAAGTTAAACATGAGCCAACAATGTGATGCGGCGGCAAAAAAAGCCAATAGGATTTTGGCCTGCATCAATAGGAGCATAGTGTCTAGATCCAGGGAAGCCATGCTGCCCCTCTATTCTGCCTTGGTTAGACCACACCTGGAATATTGTGTCCAATTCTGGGCACCACAATTGAAGAGAGATACTGATAAGCTGGAATGTGTCCAGAGGAGGGCGACTAAAATGATCAAGAGTCTGGAGAACAAGCTCTATGAGGAGTGGCTTAAAGAGCTGGGCATGTTTAGCCTGCAGAAGAGAAGGCTGAGAGAAGATTCTATGCCAGGGTGGAAGACAAAGATTCCAGTCCAGAAATAAATAACATAAATAGAAAGGTGGGAGAGCACATTAGGTTTCATACATCTTGTGTGAAGTGTTAATGTTTAATTCAGATTTTATGTCATGTCATAAGCATTTTTGTTAATTCCTGTGTCTTTTTCCAATTTACCTTCACCCTGTAGGTTGCACTGAAGTATACTAAAAAATACGGCAGTGACAAAGTGAGAGTTCTCAGTCTGGTGAAGAATCGTGGAAAAGGAGGAGCTGTCAAAATGGTAATAGACTCACTTTTGCTTTCTGTAACTATATTGTTGCTCTAGCAAGGAAAGATTAAGAGTTTTTTTTTAATTTGTGCATATAATCGTTTTTTTTTTAAATGACTGAAGAAACCTGAGTACATTGCAACATTGTGTCATTGGCAAATAAGCAAATCTAATTTATATGTAATTGTAAATTTGAGTAATTCTGGATTTTATTTTATTTACCCATGCATTGATATTTTCCACCTGACATGAGGTGCATTGTCCTATGAATCTTGTTATAACAATTCAGTAATAAGACCTGCCTGTGCTACTGTGTTTTTGGCTCCTTGGGGCTGGCTGGATGCACCAGCCAGTTGACTGTTCAGGTGATTAAGTACACTGTGTCTGGGCATTCATATTCAGTAGCCAAAGAGGACCTAGTGAATTGCATGAACATTTTGGAACTAGTTACTGTATATACTCGAGTATAAGCTGACCCTAATATAAGCTGAGGCACCTAATTTTACCACAAAAATACTGGGAAAACTTTTTGACTTGAGTATAAACTGAGGGTGGGAAATGCAGCAGTTACTGGTAAATTTCAAAAATAAAATAGATATGAATAAAATCACATTAATTGAGGCATCAGTAGGTTAAATGTTTCTGAATATTTACCATATTTCAAAGAAAAACAAACTAGTTCTGTAAGTGGAAAAGGAGGGTCAACAAAAACAATATGGTATCAACAATATCTTAATAATAATAATAATAATAATAATAATAATAATAATAATAATAATAAGGAGCAGCACCAGGAAACTACAGGCCAGAAACATGTCTGCCCACTATGTTTAAACTATTGACCGGCATCATAGCTGACAGAATTCAAGATTATCTTGAAGAAAATAAATAACATCTTGCCAGATGAACAGAATGGCAACAAACGGAAAAGCAGGGGCACAGAAGACCAGTTATTAATTGACAAAATGATTCTGGAAAACTGCAAAAGCCGAAAAACGTGGATTAACTACAAAAAAAGCCTTTGACTTACTTTGACACAGTTGGATCATCAAGTGCCTAGACACCATTGGGATTTGTAAAAATGCTGGCACTTTTATTGAAAATATGATGAAGCACTGGAAAACTGAACTGTTTGTTGGAAATGCAAACTGTGGACTTGTCAACATCAGAAGAGGAATTTTCCAGGGAGACTCATTGTCCCCACTGCTTTTCATCATTGCCATGATCCCTTTGTCAACAATCTCGGCTATCAAAACACAAACCTCGGCTATCAAAAGTCTCAGAGATCTCACAAAATTTCACATCTGCTATACATGGGTGACCTGAAGCTGTATGGGAAAACCGAAACTGAAATCCAGTCTGTGACTAACACTATCCGAATCTTTAGCACTGGTGTCAACATGGAGTTTTGTTTGGAGAAATGTTCGACAGTGGCACTGAAGAAGGGAAAAATCACTGAAAGTGAGGGCATAAATATGCCTAATGGACAAGCGATAAAGGGCTATAAATATCTGAGCTTACTACAGCTGGACAACATCAAACATGAACATGTGAAAACTGTGGTCAGCAAAGAACACATTCAAAGAGTCAGAAAAATTCTCAAGAGCAAGCTCAATAGAGGCAATACCATCAAGGCCACAAACACCTGGGCAATACCTGTCATAAGATATATTGCTGGCATTATAAACAGGATACAGGCAGAACTGGACAATTTGGACAGAAAAACAAGAAAACTCGTGACCATTCATAATTCACTACATCCCCGCAGTGATGTTGACTGGCTCTATCCGCCTAGAAAGTCAAACAGAAGAAAAACACGCCCTGGCAGAATATGTCAAGGAAAACCAAGAACCTGCTTTAATTGAAGTGAATAATCAGAAACTTCTCAAAGCACAGCAGACAAAGAACCAGCACAAGAAAACTGCACTACAAACCAGAGCTGACAGCTGGCACAACAAAGCATTGCACGGGCAGTTCCTTGACAAAATTGAAGGAAAGATTGGCAGGGAGAAGACCTGGTTATGGCTCATGAATGGAACCCTGAAGAAGGAGACAGAAGGCCTGATTCTTGCAGCCCAGGAGCAAGCCATCAGAACCAATGCCATTAAGGCCAGGATTGAAAAATCAGGTAATGACCCAAAATGCAGACTGTGTAAGGAAGCTGATGAAACCATGGACCATATAAATAATAATAAAACTTTATTTATACCCCACTTCCATCTCCCCCAAGGGGACTCGAGGCGGCTTACATAAGATCACGCCCATCAATACAGTAAACACAATATAAACACACACAAAAACAACAGAAACTCGAAAATAAATTACATAAGAAGCAAAACCAATATAAATAAGCGACACAATAGCATATAAAATCAAACATTAAAACACAAATGATCACACTGGGCAGGGCCAAATTCAAAGATAAAATTTTAAAACACTGGGAGATAGGAAAATGTAAAAAAATGTAAAAATCAGGGAGGGGATCCGAGGATGAGGTAGGATTTAATTGCACGAACCATAAAATAAAGTGCTTCTGAGGTCCCTGGGAAGTGTTCAACTTACGATTTTTTGATACGAAATCCAGCATATAGATCTCGTTTGCTGTGACATACTGTGCTTTTGTGTCCGTAAAATTTATTTGTACTCCACCCTATGTCCCCATGGGGACTCGGGGTGAATTCCAACATAGTAACAGGCAATATAAACAAAAGAAACATTACACTTTCAAATAAAAGACAATACTAAACATTGTACAATAAGTTAAAATAAACAGTTGCATTAAATAATTATCATTAAAAGCAATTAAAAAGCTAGCCAAGGTAAAGTGTCATATCAGTTCCCTTTTGCCTCCTCTCAGGCTTCTTTTCTTGACGCAGCCTAGAACAGCACTGGCTTTTTTAACTGCAGCATCACACTGTTGGCTCGTGTACAACTAAGACTCGTTTCATAGAATCCTAGAGTGGGAAGGGACCTCAAAAGGCCATCTAGTCCAATCCCCTTCACTCTGCCTTCATGAAGCAAAAGCACCCCAGACAGGTGGCCATCTAGATCTGAACTGGACTGATAAGTTTTGTACCTGTGTATGCTGAACACATGAAGGTTGTGAGTGAACCAAATATGTTATTTTATCACTTCATATTTGTCTCTTGAGTGCATGATATAGAAGACATTGTTTTATGGGAGAGTAGATATTATATTTTGGGCACTGAAAAACACTTCTGAAGCACTGCTGTTTTGATGCATTGGCAGGGCAAGGAAGGGGAGGGGGCAATCTGCACGTGCTCCGGGGCACCCTGTTTCTTGTCATCTTAACATGCCATGCTGGAGAGTTGGCACCTGCACCAAGGAGGAGACTGAGCCGGTGAATGAGGAGGAAGTGTTGCCGGCGGAGGCCATGGAAATGCTGGACTTCTGCGAAAGAAGGCAGGAGGGAAGGAAGGGAGCCACCAGGGCAAAGCAAGAAGGCAAGAGGCAGGGAGGGAGAGCAGGAAGGGATGAGAAAGAGGCGTGACCTGGTGCAAGCTTCTGCTTTCCTGCAGCCTTGCAATAGCACAATGAGAGCACCTGTTGCTTCCAGAAGATGCTTTCATTGTGCTTTTGCATGTTGCAGGAAGGCAGCAGCTTGCCCCAGGCCACACCCCTTTCTCATGCCTTCCTGCTCTCCTTCCCTCCCTGAATCTTTGCCTTCTTGCCTTGCCTTGGTGGCTCACTTCCTTCGCAAAAGCCTAGCAACACTGCCTCCTCGGTGCAGGCACCCACACTCCAGCTCAGCATGTTAAGATGATGAGAGACAGGGTGCCCTGGGGCACGTGCAGAATGCCCCTCCCCTCTCCTGACCAGTGACCTGCATGTCTCCATGAAATGGGCCGGAGGAGAAGGACCAGCAGTATTAGCAGCCTTCTCCTCCATCGCACTCCATGGAGCCAAACGCCAGCCGGCTTCAGAGCTTTTTTTCCTCAGCCTCCCACCGTAGCTTATACCTTGGCTCAAATATAAGCCAAGGAGGGCTTTTTCAGTCTTCAAAAAGGGCTGAAAAACTCAGGTTATATTCGAGTATATACAGTATATCAAATGAAACATGCCTTACATGAATTAAAATCAGTACTAATATGAAACCTTGGATTATTTTTACACGCAGGGTGTTTTCATTTCACGAGGGAAAAAAATCCTCATGGCAGATGCTGATGGTGCCACAAAGTTTGAAGATATTGAAAAAGTAGAAAAAGGTCTCGAGAGTCTTCAGCCTTGGCCTGTGAGTTTTTTGCTTGTTCACTTATTTTTATTATGGTAGATAACTATGTTGATAATCTTTTTCAACCAATAAATAAATCCTGATTTGTATATTTGCATATCTATTTATTGAGGTATATTTCATGTGACTTTCAAATATCACCATTTGTAGAGATCCTTATCAAAATGTAAGACGTGATCCAGAAGTTGGAACACACTTATCTCCTACTCAAATCAGTCAGATCTAACAATGTAATGTTTCTCAGGAGTGTATTTGTGGCAGAATAATATTGGGTATTCTGTGTTAATATTTGCAGTTATGGTTTAGTGCAGAATAGGTTCTGACTTTTGACTTTTCAGCACTGACTATAAATGATCACTGTGGTACCAGTTCCATTGTTAATGAACTATGTTTTCTGTAGCAGCCTTAAATTTAGATATGAACTAGCTTTCCCTGCCACGCGTTGCTGTGGCCCACCTTACCTCCCTCTTTCTCTCCTTCTTTCCCTCATTCCCTTTTCTTCTTTCCTTCTCTCCTTCCTTCCTTCTCTTCCTCTTTCCTTCTTCCTTTTCTTTCCCTTTCTCTTTCTTCCTTCTCTGCCTCTTTCCCTTCTTCCTTCCTTTGGTTTTTGTTTCCATTCTTCCTTTTGTCTGTCCTTCCTTCCCCCCTCTTTCTCTTTCTTTCTCTTCTTCCTTTCTCCTCTTTCCTTCCTTTTCTTTCCTTCTCTCCTTCCTTCCTTCTCTTCCTCTTTCCTTCTTCCTTTTCTTTCCCTTTCTCTTTCTTCCTTCTCTGCCTCTTTTCTTCCTTCCTTCCTTTGGTTTTTGTTTCCGTTCTTCCTTTTGTCTGTCCTTCCTTCCCCCCTCTTTCTCTTTCTTTCTCTTCTTCCTTTGCTCCTCTTTCCTTCCTTTTCTTTCCTTATCTCCTTCCTTCTTTCTCTACCCATTTCTTTCCATCCCTCTTCTTTTCTTCTTTCTCTCTTTTCTTCCTTCTCTACCTCTTCCCTTCCTTCCTTCGCTCTTTGCTTCCATGTTTCCTTCTCTGTTTCCTTCCTTCCTTCGATGTTTTTCCTCTTCCTTGATTGGGCCCGCCTCCTAGGAGGCTGCAACCACCGCGTCGCTCGGCGAGGCCTCGGTTGTTATGGCGGTTCCGCCGGAAGTGCTGGGAGCAAGGCTGACAGGCGAGGGAGCAGAAGTGCGGGAAGGGGTGGGGGGTGAAGGAAGGGGACGTGACTTCCTAGAGGGGGCGTGGGAGGAGGTAAGGATTGAGTCAGGGCAGGAAAGGGCAGGGCGGCGAAGGGAAGGGGCATGACTTCCATGGAGGGGGCGTGGTCGGCGGAGGAGGAGGTGGAGGAGGGAAAGAATTGAGTCAGGGCGGGTAGGGGCGGGGCGGCAAAGGGAGGGGGCGTGGTTTGCGGCGAGGGAGCGTTCTCCGGCAATGTGCGCGCGGCAGGGGACTCACGCCGGGGCGCCTCTGCGCATACTCCCTTTGTTTTCGAAATTGTGGGTTTGTTGAAATGTTGTATACTATTTTGATGAGAGTTGTGCATACCTTGTGGGTTGAGGTATGTGCACGCCAAGTTTGGGGAGTTTTGGTCCAGGGGTTTTCGCATTTTGTTGTCCCGTTGAACACCCCTAACAGATTTATATATATAGATTGCACGTAGGAACTATGCTTAGAAAAGCCATCTCTTCCTACCATTGATTTGTTGAGTTTTTCCAACAGTTGTAAATGTATTATTTCCTCTCTAGGACCAGATGGCCATCGCCTGTGGCTCTCGAGCTCACTTGGAGAAAGATTCAATAGCCCAGGTAAGGTTGGCTTTTCTACTTTTTCTTCTATACATTCATCCAGTGGACATGCCTATCTACCCCTGGAGGCTCACTCAGCCATGGAAAGATGGTACACAACTCTTTGCTCCATGGAACATGGAGAAAGGCACTCACGATGACATGGATAGGCAGGATTTATAAATTAAGGAGGAATAGATGGATGTAGCATGTTACAAAAAGTGTGATATATTGCTTTCCTGAAGCAAGGGGTGGCTATCGGGCTCATTAGACGATCTGGCTGTTATTCTCTCCTACTATCAATATAGGAAAAAATATTAGGGTCAGAGGAAATGTTGAATAGATCTCCACCACAATGAAACTTCATACTGCAAATAAAAGACTACAAATGCAGTTTTCATCACTGCTTCCTAGGCACTGGTAGGGGAAAAGGATATTTGATGTGTATAGCTGCTGCACAGCTAACATCATTGGGAAAGGTTTGGCATCTTCTGTTATGGACCTACAATAAAAGTGTAAAGGCCTTCTGGATAATGAATACATCTCTTAGAGTCAAAGAAGAATTACCTGAGCAACAGTCTTAAAATTCTAATCAAAAGGACTTAAAATGAAGTTCTGGAATTGGGATAACAAAAAACAACAGCTAATGACTGAGTGAACTTGTTAAAAACAATAACCTAAAGGACAAAGAAGGAGGCAACGCAGTGATCTGCTTGTAAATGCAGCTGAGAAATTGAGAAAGTTGATCCATATCTTCCAGGTTCCAGATATTAATATAGGTGGCAAATGGTGGACAGAATTAACTTGATAAACAGGAATGTGGTATAATCTGGTATCATAGAATCATAGAGTTGGAAGAGACCTCATGGGCCATCCAGTCCAACCCCCTGCCAAGAAGCAGGAAAATTGCATTCAAAGCACCCCCGACAGATGGCCATCCAACCTCTGTTTAAAAGCCTTCAAAGAAGGAGCCTCCACCACAATCCAGGGAAGAGACTTCCACTGCTGAACAGCTCTCAGAGTAAGAAAGTTCTTCCTAATGTTCAGATGGAATCTCCTTTCTTGTGGTTTGAAGCCATTGTTCCGCATCCTAGTCTCCAGGGCAGCAGAAAACAAGCTTGCTTCCTCCTCCCCATGACTTCCTCTCACATTTTTCTACATGGCTATCATGTCTCCTCTCAGCCTTCTCTTCTTCAAGCTAAACATGCCCAACTCTTTAAGCTGCTCCTCATAGGTCTTGTTTTCCAGACCCTTGATCATTTTAGTTGCCCTCTTCTGGACACATTCCAGCTTGTCAATATCTCTCTTCAATGGTGGTACCCAGAATTGGACACAGTATTCCAGGTGTGGTCTAACCAAGGCAGAATAGAGAGGAAGCATGACATCCCTGGATCACTATTAATTATTAATTAATTAATTAATTAATTATTAATTATTATTTTAATTTCACTATGCTCCTATTGATGCAGGCCAAATTCCCATTGGCTTTTTTTGCCGCCGCATCACATTGTTGGCTTATGTTTAACTTGTCCACGAAGACTCATCCCCCATTCTGTATCTTTGCTTTCATTTTTTCTGTCTAAGTGGAGTATCATTGGTATATGTCACTGTTGAACTTCATTTTGTTAGTTTTGGCCCATCTCTCTGATCTGTTAAGATAGCTTTGAATTCTGCTCCTGTCCTCTGGAGTATTGGCTATCCCTCCCAATTTGATGTCGTCTGCAAACTTGATGATCATACCTTCTAGCTCTTCATCTAAGTCATTAATAAAGATGTTGAACAGGACCGGGCCCAGGACGGAACCCTGTGGCACTCCGCTTGTCACTTCTTTCCAAGATGAAGAGGAAGCATTGGTGAGCACCCTCTGGGTTCGTCCACTTAACCAATTACAGATCCACCTAACCGTAGTTTTGCCTAGCCCACATTTGCCTATTGTATTTTCTGGCATATAAGGTGACTGGGGGTATAAGATGACCACTAACATTTCAACACAAAATACTTGCCATTTAAGACGACTCTGCATTCCATGGAAGCTGGCTGGGGGTGATGGTCTGCTGGGCTGTCCCCGCCGCTCTACCCACTTTACTTTCAAGGCTTTCCTCCGCCCCGCTGCTCACCTCCTCCAAAGGCCGCTGGGCTCGCCCAAGGAAGCGCCTCTGGAAGACGACTCTCATCAGCCCTGGGTGGCAGCGTGCCTCGGATGTGCTTCCTGAGGCATTACGGGAGCCGTAGGAGTAAGGGAACTACGGCTCTCAGAATACCTCAGTGATCACATCCAAGGCATGCTGCAGCCCCGGGCAGCGACATGCCTGGGATGTGCTTGCAGAGGCATTCTGAGAGCCGTAGGAGTCGGAACCACGGCTCTCAGAATGCCTCAGCGAGCACATCCCAGGCACGCTGCTGCCGTGGCTGTTGGGAGTTGTCCAAAGGCGCTTCTTTGGGCCTAGACGAGCCCAGTGGCCTTCAAAGGTGTGTGTTCGGGGGCAGAGGAGGGCCATGAAAGTAGAGCAGGGAGAGAGGCAGGGACAGCCTGCCACTCTTCCTCTTCATGCCCTCCCTCTGCCCTTCTCCTCCTCACTCCCTTCTAAGGTAGTTAGATTTTTTTCTTTTAATTATTATTTTAATTTTATACCCAGCATACTAGACAGCCCCCGACTTTTCATAAGATTTTCCAGGCCTAAAAAGTTGTCTAGTACGTCGGAAAATATGGTAGTTTATTTGCCAGAAGGTCATGGGGGACCTTGTCGAGGGCCTTAGTGAAGTCCAGATACACTACATCCACGGCATTCCCTGCATCTACCCAGCTTGTTACTCTATCGAAAAAAGAGATCAAATTAGTCTGGCATGACATGTTTTTGCTAAATCCATGTTGACTAATAGCGATGACCGCACTTGTTTCTAAGTGTTTGCAGACCACTTCCTTAACAATATTTTCCAGAATTTTGCCTGGTATCGACGTGAAGCTGACCAGACAGTAATTGTTTGGGCTGTCCTTTTTTCCCTTCTTGAAGATTGGGACCACGTTTGCCCTCCTCCAATCTGCTAGGATTTCTCATATTCTCCAAGAACTCTCAAAGATTATTGCCAGTGGTTGCGAGATGACTTCCGCTAGTTCCTTCAATACTCTTGGGTGTAGTCGATCTGGCCCCGGGGACTTGAATTCGTTTGGAGTGGCCAGGTATTCCTGGATGACTTGTTTTCCAATTGGATGTCTTCTAATCCCTCATCCACTCCACCTTGCTGAGGTTGAAGATTACTTTCTTTTTGTGAGAAGAGCGAGGCAAAGAAGGCATTAAGTAGTTCTACCTTTTCCCTATCCCGTCAGCATTGCCCCATCTTCTCCTCGAAGAGGCCTATCACCTCCTTGTTCTTCCTTTTTCTACTGATGTAAGAAAAGAAGCCCTTTTGTTGTTTTTTAATGTCTCTGGCAAGCCTGAGCTCGTTTTGTGCTTTAGCTTTGCAAACCTTTTCCCTTCAGGAATTTGCTATTTGTTTGAATTCTTCTTTGGTGGTTTCTCCTTCTTTTCTCTTCTTGTGCATTTCTCTTTTGAGTCTTAGCAGTTAGAAATTCTTTGTACATCCATTCTGGCTTCTTTGCACTTGTCCTATTTTTTCTCTTTGTTAGCACTGTTTGCAATTGCTTCTTCACTTCACTTCACTTCACTTTATTTCTTAATTAGTCACTCTCCACCAAGGTGCTCCGAGCGACTTACAGTCTAAAAAAGCATTTACACAATATAAAAACATTCAACATAAAAACATTCAACAGTGACTATTTGGCAAATTAGATCTGATTACTTAAATGCACAACCAAACAGCCAAGTCTTGAGTGCCTTTACAAAAGGTCGCAGCTCCGACATTGCTCTAATGTATGGAGGCAATGAGTTCCACAGAATTGGAGCATAGGTCGAAAAAGATCTATGCCTTGTAGCTTCCAGGTGTACCTCCCTAGGGCCCAGTATATATAGGAGATTTTCCTGGGTGGATCGAGGTGGCCACTAATGGAGAAAAGGAATGAGGCGGTCCCTAAGATATAAAGGTCCTTGGCCTTAAGTATTTCACTCTTGAAAAACTCCCATCCATCTGTAACTCGCTTGTCTTTTAGTATCTTTGAAAGCTGGTGGATTGATACTCTTACAACAAACTACCACTCAGCTTGCTAATTATATTGATACTTTCAGTTTTATCAATTTGGAATCACAGTTTTAAAAAAGTTTTTTTTATTAATATTGAATTGATGTTGTGACTTTTTCTCAAAGTGTGATCCAACGTGGCATTTTAAAATTAAGGCTTTGATATATCCAAAAGTACTCCTTTATTATATCAAATTAAATCTGTACAGTATCTCAATTTTGCTTATTTCTAGTCCTAGATACAAATAATGATTGCTATAAAATACCATGTTTTCATTTGTTTTTGTTTTTTAATTTGCAAAGTTTATACATGTTGCTATGGTAGAATTTTACCAGTTTCTGAATAGTGATAATTAATAGGTTCTTGTGGGTTTTTTCGGGCTATAGAGCCATGTTCTAGAGGCATTTCTCCTGACGTTTCGCCTGCATCTATGGCAAGCATCCTCAGAGGTTGAGAAGGTCTGTTGGAAGTAGGAAAATGGGCTTATATATCTGTGGAATGGCTGGGGTGGGGCAAGGAGCTCTTCCCTGCTGCAGTTAGGTGTGAATGTTTAGCTGATCACCTTCATTAGCATTTGAAGGCCTGCCTGAGTCTGGGAAAATCTGTTGCTGGGAGGTGTTAATCTGTGCCTGGTTTTCGACAATACAGTGATAATTAACATTTTGCCTTTTGTTTGCAGAGGTCATATTTCCGAACACTTCTCATGTATGGATTCCATTTTTTAGTATGGTTTCTTTGTGTGAAGGAAATCAAAGACACTCAATGTGGTTTTAAATTACTAACCCGTGAGGCTGCTGCTCAGACTTTTTCTGTACTTCATATAGAGCGTTGGTAGGTATTATGTTCCTCAATCATTTTGATCCCTTGGAAGCAGTTTTGGACCTAGTAAAAAGACAGATTTCAAGAAGTCACCTGGTTCTGGGGCAGGGAAGGTGACAAGGGTAACAAGGGGTGAAAGTGAGATTCACATTGTTGCTAACTTTGTCTTCAATTAGGGATAAGGAGTGACAGCTGAAGTGAAAAGCATAATTTAAAAATACACTTGGAAGTATTGTTTTTTCTTCAAAGAGAGAGCTGATGCCAGATAAGAAAGCACACTAGAGCAGCGGGTGAAAGGTGTCCCAACTTTGGGAATTGTGCTTCTTCACCATATATTGAAATTGCCACTTTCTGTAATAGAAAAAGAAGAATAGGCATGCCAAAATTATTTTTGTCTTTTGTGTTATTGGCCAGAAAATAGTGATTTTGGATATATGTCTACTCCTTTGTGTTCAAAAGAAGCTTTTGAATGTTACAGGTATGTGAAAAAGACCAGGCATAATTTCAAGGCAGTACTGAGTGTTCATGTTGTGTTGCAGGGCATTTGATGTGGAACTACTCTATATTGCTCAGTGCCTTAAAATACCAATAGCAGAAGTTGCTGTCAACTGGACAGAAATCGAAGGTCAGTTAATCTAGAAAACATTTCACTGAGTTCTTTGTGTTCATCTTCTTTTTCTCCCTGAATAAGAATGCTCAATATTCCTATTCTAGCTCAGCCTCTCCCACCCATGAAGGTCACTCTCCTTTCTGCATGCCCTCTCCTGCCTCTCTGCTTCCTAGTATGAGATACAGCTATGGTGCAGCTGAAAGAACCAGGATTTCTTTTACACTCTAGCACCCTTTCACCCAGCACCACACCAGAGTCCAGTAATTCAATCTAAAAATGATTATTAAAAAATAGATAAAAAGGAGAGAAAGGGCAATTCCAAAAGGGTCAGTAGAATAGAAAATACAAAATAGCAGCAATCTAAAAATGTCAAGGAACATAAACCAAGGAAATCAAAATCCACAGCAGTACTCCAAGCATAAATCCATGAACGTGAAAACAGGAACTTTTCTATGGTAAACTCTTCAAGAAAAGACAGGCATACACAAGAGCAGGAAACCTGAGAATACTTGAACCAAGAACTTGGTTCTTGGTTGACATGGACCGACCACTAACTGCTCAGATTTAGACTTACGGCAACCCCTAATCTTCGCAGGGGTGGAGGACCCATTAAGTTGGTCTGCCCCAGGAGACTTATGGATCCGGATGGATTCCTGACGGCTCTTGGGGAGTTTCCCGCCACCTCGGTAAGTGATCCTGTTGATGCTCTGGTCACTCTCTGGAATGGGGAGATGACTAGGGCAATAGACACTACTGCTCCAGAACGTCCCCTCTCAAGTAGTTGAGCTAAACCAGCTCCTTCGTTCAACGAGGAGCTGGCAGCAATGAAGCGAAGGAAGAGGGAACTAGAGAGCGTGTGGCGTTCTGATCCGAGCGAGCCAAATCGAACACAGTTTGTGGCCTTTTTATTGTGTCTGCAAAGAACCGTCTGGCTGAGCTGTTTCGAGTTGTCAGAGGCCTTTTAAATCCCACCACCCAAGATGGGAGCCCTAACAACTCAGCAGCCCGCTGTGAAGCTTTTGCTCAGTTCTTTGCAGACAAAGTCGCTTTGATCCGGTCTGGTCTGGACGCCATGTTAACGGCAGTCTCTGAGGATGTAGCTGGAGCACCTGCTTGTCTGGTTTTGATAGATTCATTTCAATTGGTGAAACCTGAGGATGTGGACAAGATACTTGGAGGAATGAGGCCTACCACATGCATCCTAGAACCCTGCCCATCCTGGCTTTTAAAGGAAGCCAGAGGGGGATTGGCCGAGTGGGTAAAGGAAGGCAATATTCCAGCAAGCTTAAGACAAGCTATAATAAAACCGCTGTTGAAAAAACCATCACTGGACCCCACTCAATTTGACAACTATCAGCCTGTTTCCAATCTCCCCTTTCTGGGCAAAGTCCTGGAACGTGTGGTGGCTTCACAACTCCAGGTATTCTTGGAAGACACGGATTATCTGGATCCGGCACAGTCTGGCTTTAGGCCGGGTCATGGAACCAAGACAGCCTTGGTCGCCTTAGTGAATGATCTACACCGGGAGCTGGACAGGGGGAGTGTGTCCCTGTTGGTTTTGCTGGACCTCTCAGCAGCCTTTGATACAGTCGACCACGGTATCCTTCTGGGTCGCCTCATGGGAATGGGCCTTGGAGGTACTGTTCTGCAGTGGCTCTGGTACTTCCTAGAAGGTCAATCTCAGAAGGTGCTATTGGGAGACACCTGTTCAACCCCACAACCTTTGTCTTGTAGAGTTCCTCAGAGTTCGATACTATCTCCTATGTTATTTAACATCTACATGAAGCCATTGGGGGAGATCATCCGGAGTTTCGGGGTGCAGTGTCATCTTTATGTGGATGACGCCCAATTTTGTCACTCCTTTCCACCTGCTACTAAGGAGGTTGTTCAGTTCCTGAACCGGTGCTTGGCTGCTGTGACGGTCTGGATGAGGGAGAACAAATTGAAATTGAATCCAGACAAGACAGAGGTACTCCTGGTCAGTTGCAGGGCCGAACAGGGTATAGTGTTACAGTCTGTGTTGGATGGTGTCGCACTCCCGCTGAAGACACAGGTTCGCAGCTTGGGTGTGATCTTGGATTCATCGTTGAGCCTGGAACCCCAGGTCTCAGCGGTGACCAGGGGAGCATTTGCACTATTAAAACTTGTGCGCCAGCTGTGCCGGTGCCTTGGGAAGTCTGACTTGGCCACGGTAGTCCATGCTCTGGTTACATCCCGTATAGACTACTGCAACACTCTCTACGTGGGGTTGCCTTTGAAGCTTCAAATGGTCCAACGCTCAGCAGCCAGGTTACTAACAGGAGCGGCACTCAGAGAACATACAACTCCTCTGTTGTGCCAGCTCCAGTGGCTGCCAGTTTGCTACCAGGCACAATTCAAAGTGCTGGCCTTCGCCTATAAAGCCCTAAACGGTTATGGCCCAACTTACCTGTCCGAACGTATCTCCTCCTATGAACCAGCTAGGACGTTAAGATCGTCTGGGGAGGCCCTGCTCTCGATCCCGCCTGCATCACAAGTACGGTTGGTGGGGACGAGAGACAGCGCCTTCTCAGTGGTGGCCCCTCGTTTGTGGAATGCCCTTCCCACACAAATTTGATCGGCCCCCTCCCTGTTCACATTTCGAAGGAAAGTGAAGACCTGGATGTTTGAGCAGGCATTTGAATAGGCAGTGTAACTAATATAGAAATATGGAACATTTGGATGATGAGACTGGATCTTGGTTTTAACTATGAGACGAAATGAGATGTTATGATGTTTATTGTTATAATGTTATTCTTTTATCTTGTTTTTAACTGTTTTTATCATGTTATAAGTATTGTATTTGCTTTGTTAACCACTCTGGGTTGCTCTGAGGGCTGAGAAGAGCGGTATACAAATATAGTAAATAAATAAATAAATAAACTTGGGAGCACAAACTGGAGAACAATCTTCTATAGCAACATTGTCTCCTCTGAAAGGCCAAAAAACAACCCACTAATTTAAGCCCTCCAAACCACCCATGACATCATTCCTCACACACTTGGATCTCCTCTCAGCCTTATTTCTGAGCCTTTGAGAAAATCCCGTTTAACACCCTGCATTCTCAGGTCTAATCTAAGTTCCCTTGAAACCTCGCCATCAGCCCAAGGCTGTTTCTCCAGAAAACTGTTTTTTTCATTTTCCCCTGTTGCCTGGGAATGAACTGAAGAATTCAAAACATCAGTCTCATCTGCTTGCAATTCCCTCCGATCCTTCACAAATCTTCACTTTGAAACTCATCATCCCCTGAACAGTCAGAAAAATCCTCTAATGCTTGCCAGAATACAATAATTTCATAATATTTTTGCCAGAGAGATTACTTCTATCCAGCTTAGTCTGGAGTTACATATTGCAGACCATCCTGGAACTCCAAAACAATGAGAGGAAAACTGTTCACACTCTTCATTGTATCCCAAGCCAAAAATCAATGAGAAGTTTTATCAATAATCCAATAAGTTTTTTGACTGACCGCATCCCCTCATACAAATCTGCCCAGGCCCTGAGATCTTCAGGAGAGGCCTAAGCTTGGTTGGTATTAATGACACAGAGAGAGAGCAGACCTTCCTTTTCAGTGGTTGCCCCTTGACTCTGGAATTCTCTTCTTCCCAGGGAATCCAGAATGCCCCCCCCACCCCCCACTCTGCTGTCCTGGCTAAAACCGTTTTATTTAGGCAGGCTTTTGAAGAAGAAGATTTTTAAGATCAATTCAGGGGGTGCTGTGGTTTTTAACCTTGAATATGTTTTAATGGTTTTAACGCTAGATTTTTAAATACTGTTTATGTTTAATTCCGTTTTAGTGTTTGCATATTTGTATATTTTAAATTGTATGCTAATGCTTTTATCTTAAGCAGCTTTGAGTCTCCTTTGATATAAATAAATATAATAAAAGTTAGGTGCTGAATTTGGAAGCAAATCTTTCTGTTAAAAAAAACTGTGAGGTTTATTTATTTACAACAAGTAGGATACTGCAAAGAAAAGAGGAGGATTATAGTACAGGTAGATTTGATTCAAGGAAGCCAGAATCCTGAGTTTTCAGGATTTTACCAAGGCTTTCAAAGCCCATGCTTTAGAGCAGTGTATCTCAAACTTTGTTCCTCCAGATATTTTGGACTTCAGCTCCCAGAAATCCCAGCCAGTTTATCAGCTGTTAGGATTTTTGGGACCTGAAGTTCAAAACATCTGGAGGAACAGAGTTCAAGAAACACTGCTTTAGAGGTTTCTTATTTATAGGAGTTTCCCAGATATTTTGGGGATTTCTATGCCACCTTTCTCCGAAAGGCCCCAAGGCAGTTCGCAATATATAGTTATCTTGATTTGTTATGGGTGAACAAATGAAGACTGGTAGATATCATATGTTTGGTATCTCATAGTCACCGTAAGTCACATTCAACTAGTCAGCAAATAAGAAAAGAAATTAGGAATAGGATATGTAGATAACTATTTTGAATTGTATGCAGCAAGCACAAAATAAGTTATCTAGCCCAACTCTACATATATACTAAAAGCATTTAATGAACAGGAGTAGAATAAAAAGGATAAAGTTAAAATCAGTGGAGGATGAGAACAAATAAACTAGTCCCACTTTTATCAAAGTCCCATAGTAATTTTGTTGGATTGTAGCATCTTGGCATATGTGCTCTTTCAAATGACATTCGCCAACACACATTTTTGTGCCTCAAATGTTAACGCTGTTTCTGAGCATATTTGACCCACTGATTCCAATAATGGCACCAGTTTTCCCCTATCAGCTCTAGTTTTTGAGATACCAAACATATGATATCTACCAGTCTTCATTTGTTCACCCATAACAAATCATAACAACTATATATTGTGAACTGCCTTGGGGCCTTTCAGAGAAAGGCAGCATAGAAATTCCCAAAATAAATATCTGGGAAACTCAAGCTGATGCAATCTATCCAGTGCATTTTTCTAAATCAGCACCCCAAATAACCCCCAAAACAGGCCTATTGCATTACATTCCTACATACTTTCTGAAA